GCGAAGGTCTCGTACAGTGAGGCTGCCAGTGGGTCCTTCCGATGTTCTCTCCGTTTTTTTTCTTTTTTCTTCTCTGAAGAGTCACTCAGCTACTAAACGTTCAATATTGAACGACACTTCCCACAATATGCAATCGCGGGGTTCGTCTTTAATCTCGCGCTCCTTGAACAGTGAGCCCTTCTTACCCTTCCCTGGCACTCGAACCAGGTTTATTGAAGTTGAGCTTATTTTTAGCTACCGTAACTGACTTAAATTATAACTAGTACACTACACCTAGTCCTTCACTCAATTCAAAATCTACTGGTTTACGAAGTTTTCCGTAAAGAGGTTAAGGGGTTTTTGTTTGGTGCTACTGCTGCTATCATTTGCCAATCTGAGATCCAACTTGTCGATGTGTCCGGTAGCGGAAAAAATCGATTTCCCTACGAAAGCACAACAATGTGCCATAATAAATGAGTAAAATGAGTGCCACCTCTAGAACTGGTTCTTCGCGCTTTGTCGGTCGTTTCTATCATCGTCGACGAATCGGCAAGTGGCATCAACGGCTGTGCTGTGAGTTGGTTGGTCATCATGACTGAACAAATAGTAATTGACTCCTTTTTGAAAACCTGACCTTTTAGAGCCTTCACAAGGCGGTTTGATATTAATCACAGCAACTCGGTAGTTATCAGTGAAGTCAAGTGATAGGAACGAGGCCAAAGTGTAAGATAATATCGTATTACATTGAAACAATGTCATATGGTGTGATCGTTACGGCATGTCAATGTCATCACGGCGCCCAGGTAGAAATCGATTGCATAACCTTAATAGGGAATTTTTGGGAAAAAAGAGGGCAGAAATCGATAGAAGTTAGCAGATACCCTCCTTGTACTGTATGCTGCTGACCCAGGGCTTGTCATCGTTGGGATTCCCCAACAGGGGAGGGGGTCGTATTAAGTCGTTCTTGAGGTGGGCTGATTTTTCTTGCTTCACGGACGCTATAAGGGGGATCGTATTCGCTCATTGTTGGGAGAGGGGTAGGGATCCATTTGGCTTCCGAGAGGGATTCGAGGCCGGTTGTTCATTTTTCGCAGTTTCTCCTCTTCCACATGTCCTATACACTCGCCTCCCCTCCCCTACCCTCCGCCACCCCTCCCCCCTAGCTCGACAGCAAAGTTTGGAGGGAAGATAGGAAAGTTCTCGAGGGAAATCCCGGAAGAAATGGAAGGTGGGAAATCGGCAAGTGGTGGTGAGGAAATTGTGAAAATCTAAGAAAGTGGTAGGTGGGATGGGAAACGGGGGTCGTGTCTTCCACGCAGTTTTTCCCCTTCCTATCTCAAATGTGCTGTTATATACTCCTCCCCGCTCAACAGCTTCGATGGCATAAGAGGAATGAACTAGACTGGGGGCGGGGTCTTATCAAGCCACCTGTTAAAGATCGTACGAACTCGACCAAAAGCCCTAACTCATGATGTGCCATGTGCTGACCTCCCTGCCGGTCCACTATTGAGCCCTGGTTTTCTTCTTACTCATAGCCCCCCTCTTTCCT